AATAGACTGTATATAATAAACTGTATAAAAACACCCACAGGCCACACGCTACTGGTGGCGAGGTGGGCGGGGCTGAGTAGAAGCCCCAGATGACGCTACGTCAGTAAGCACCAATCAGATGGCCGGATCTTGGACAGTCCATGTTTTGCTTTTTTTCAACTTCGCACATGCGCACTTCATTTCGAAAATGGCGGCCGTACAAGGTGGTGTGGTCGACGCGGATGAAGAAAAGGACATTAAATCGGAACCATCGAGCGATGGCTGGGGAAACAACAATGCGAGCGACGGGAGGGTGCTCTCTGCGTCGCCGGGCTCCAGCGCTCCGGCCGTGGGCAACAAACCCGCGGCGGGAACCCCGGAGGACCAGCAGACCTTGCTGGCGGTGCTGCAGTTCCTCAGGAAGAACAAACTCACCGAGTCTGTGGAAATTCTGCGTCGCGAAGCGGGACTACCGGAGGATTCACTGAAGGGGGCTGACTCCTCCGGGGCAGGCTCGGGAGGTGCTGCCGGCAGTGGGGACGCAGAAGGCGCGGATGCGAGCTCTCTGCTGAGCCGGGTTACCGTGACATCCTCAGCCGGAGTCCAGGCGCCAACAAAAGGTCTGGAGCACACTGATGAATGGTTAACAGAAAACTTAACCGTAAATACACATAATTACAAACAGTGATGACAATCGATCACTCAGGGAGGGAAAACAACTTCACCATAATGCTTTAATAATATAAAACCTGTTCAAATAGTTGTTCTGAATGGATTTCATTGAATTTTAATAAGTATTTCATACAGTTTTTACTGTGCTTACAATTGTTTTATGCTTTAGGTATTACTGATAATGTTTTCATAAAAAATGTTTAGATAATACATATGTGTCTATTGATATCAGAGAAAAAACAAGATTGAGAGTGTAATTTCAAATGTAGAGGCAAAATTCATTGTGATATTCAGACATGCCTTTTAAATCAATTTCTAGAAAGTAAGATGAGACAGTCCTGATTAAAGGTCCACTTGCTAGATTTCTCCAGAGCTTTTACTCAAGCTTTCATCAGATTTTCATGGAGTGACATCACATGACATCAGCCTGTGAAGTGAAATATTTAACTACAATAGTCCACGTTGCTCTTATTCTGTATCTTAACTTAAAGTAGAAGTAAAATAAGAATAATGGCTGATTGATGGTACACCAGTAGAACAATGTTGTCCTGTGTCTGCACGTCTCACTCTGACTTGGTTTTACAGCAACAGCAGGGGAGGATCAGCCAGACGTCAACGTGGTGCTGTCAGCGTACAGCCAGCAGGGAGACCCGGCTCTGTACCAGGTTTACTACAGCGGCCTGAAGAGGTTCATAGAGACGGTTCTGGACTGTCACAGAGCAGAACTGTCTCAGGTCTTCTACCCGCTGTTTGTACACATGTATCTGGAGCTGGTGTACAACAATCATGAAAGTGAGGCCAAGGCTTTCTTTGACAAGTGAGTGTCCAAGTTTACAGTTTTCCCAAAGTTAAAGCACTTCGATATAGGTATTATTCAATCTGACACCTTTTTTTCTTCTATCTTCCATCTCAGGTTTAGTGGGGACCAGGAGTGTTATTATGAAGATGACATGCGCATTTTGTCTAGCCTAACAAAGAAGGAGCACATGAGAGGCAATGAGACACTCCTTGACTTCCGCACCAGCAAGTTTGTCCTGCGCATCTCTCGCGACTCTTACCAGCTGCTGAAGAGACACCTGCAGGAGCGTCAGAACAACCAGATCTGGAATATTATCCAAGAGCATCTCTACATCGACATCTTTGATGGCATTCCACGCAGCAAGAGCCAGATTGATGCCATGTCTGGCAGCTTGGCAGGAGAGACTAAGCGAGAGGCCAACAAGGCGAAGGTTTGCTTTATACAGCTACGTACATAAAATGAATTTAGTGTTTTCTTTGTCCCTCCACATTTTTTTTACAACCTTGCTGAATTGATGACATGTTTCTTGTTTCATTGTCACTCGACATGCTTTAGGTCTACTATGGATTGCTGAAGGAACCGGAAATAGAGCTTCCACTTGATGATGAGGATGAGGAGGCAGAGAATGAGGAGGGTAAACCCAAGAAGAAGAAACCAAAAAAGGACAGCATGGGCTCCAAGAGCAAGAAGCAGGATCCTAATGCACCTTCTCAAACTAGGTAGGTACTTTTTTTTAACACTGCATTATATTGTATCATTCTGCAGCTGCACTGGTATTCCATCGACCGACCTTGGAAGACTAAGACAGTGGGATCCTGTAAACACATCCTGCAACACTGGAGTACGACTCGGTTGACAATCCAAGTATATTTTATCACTGCAACTTTTGTTTGCTGAATTCTCGTTAATCTTGTAAAAGCATACGTTTTGATGTGGAGGTCTGACTTTTATTGTATGCGAACTCAGGTGAGTAACTTCACTCATATTGGTTATGAATTAAAAAATGTAATTTGAGGGAAATTGATTATCCACACACAGCATTCATCTATTCCACAATTTATTGTTGTAACTTCCAAAACTGCAAGTCTGTAAATGTAAAAATGATAAATGAGACTGTAGATATATTTTTTCAAAGTGCTTCTGAACTTACAAGTCTGTGACTGATGACAATGTTTTGTTTGCTTAGGATACCTTTGCCAGAACTTAAGGACTCAGACAAACTGGATAAGATCATGTACATGAAAGAGGCCACCAAGAGGATCCGCCTGGGACCAGATAACCTCCCCTCCATCTGCTTCTACTCTTTTCTAAATGCATATCAGGTAAAACCTCATTCACATTTAAGAAACTGATAGTCTTGGCAGTTAACTACAAATTCAAACAACAGTATAAGTCATTTCTAATTTTTTATCACTTTTCCCCTTCAGGGTTTGACTGCGGTGGACTTCACAGATGACTCCAGCCTGATTGCAGGAGGCTTTGCCGACTCAACGGTACGGGTTTGGAGCGTCACACCGAAAAAGCTTCGCAAGGTCAAGTCTGCAGCAGGTAAAGCATATGACTCTACGAAAGTATCTTGACCTCTGATAACTGTTAGAAAAGAATCTTGTCTGTCTCATTTCCACTTTAGACTTGAATCTGATTGACAAAGAGTCGGACGATGTGCTGGAGAGGATTATGGACGAGAAGACTGCCAGTGAGTCAAAGATCCTCCACGGACACAGCGGCCCAGTGTATGGTATCAGCTTCAGCCCAGACAGGTAAAACAGACTCCGATGCACTTGCGTGTTGAATAAGTAAAGACCCCCTGCAGAAAGTGAATGTATTTTTGTGTATTAAACACAAGGTAATTACTGTCAATTTTGCCTTTTAGAAACTACTTGTTGTCAAGCTCAGAAGACTGTACGGTCAGGCTGTGGAGTCTCCTAACATTTACATGTCTAGTAGGCTACAAGGGCCACAATTATCCAGTGTGGGACACTCAGTTTTCTCCCCATGGGTACTATTTTATCTCCGGAGGACATGACAGAGTTGCCCGGTAAGAAACGTCATCACCTGTTTAGAAATATTTTTTTTGAAAACAATCCACTATGGACAGCACTGTTTACAGATGTCTGCCTTTGTTCTGTGTTATCTCCAACAGTCTGTGGGCCACAGACCACTACCAGCCTCTACGGATGTTTTCTGGTCATCTAGCTGACATCACCTGCACCCGTTTTCATCCCAACTCCAATTATGTAGCTACAGGGTCGTCGGACCGCACCATCCGCCTCTGGGATGTCCTGAACGGAAACTGCGTCCGTATATTCACTGGTCATAAGGTCAGATGAGTCACCATTTGCCATATTTTTCCAAGTATAAGAACTCTTGCTAATTGCCACATAACTATTTTACTTGAGTTGCATAGTTTGGGCATGGTAGTTTAAAAAGATGTGTTCATCGGGGGTTGATATTATGATGCTTATAGATTGTAACATATGACTTTGATCATTTAGCAAATTTTCTTTATGCCCCCCAGTTAAAAGATGCTTCAGATTTACAGATGTACAGTATGATGCAGCACAGTTAACAGAAGGCTGTGGTGGCAACTTCTGAGCAAGTCTTTTAACTTTATCTCCCAGGGTCCTATCCATGCACTGGCTTTCTCTCCCAATGGGAAGTTCTTAGCTTCTGGAGCCACTGATGGAAGAGTTCTTCTCTGGGACATCGGCCATGGACTGATGTTTGCCGAGCTCAAAGGCCACACAGATACCGTCTACTCCCTCAAGTTCAGTAGGGATGGCGAGATCCTTGCCTCTGGTGGGTGTTCTGCAGTGTCTCTTAATACTTCAAATCAACTGTATTTTATCCAGAGCTTTGTAGTTTCCACTTACTTCTTTGTGAGTGTCTGCAACTATAAATGAACTGACCATGTTTCCTTTTAGAAAACTTACATTAAGAATATCCTGCTTTTTCTAGGTTCTATGGACAACACGGTTCGCCTGTGGGACGCATTGAAAGCATTTGATGATTTAGAGACTGATGACTTCACTGCAACCACGGGACACATTCATCTACAAGAAAACTCGCAGGAGCTTCTGCTGGGCACCTACATCACTAAATCTTCACCTGTCATACACCTTCACTTCACCCGCAGGAACCTGCTGTTGGCTGCTGGAGCCTACAATCCATGAGGCATGACTGAATTCTTAGGGGGGGGGAAATAAACGGAGCAAATGTTTGGTCCCAGAGCTCTACTAATAATTGAGGTGGATTGCAGGGCAGTGAGAATTGTACTATAAAAACATATTGTGAACTGTGGTGGACATCTAGCTGTGAAATAAGGTGAGCAGACTCCTGCCCTGACCGTCAGTCTGGAAAATTCAGGCTCCAAATTAAGCTTGTTGTTCATTCAGATATTAATTTACCTCAGAAGTGCCATTCCTAATAGAGGACCATGTATTAAAAACAAAAACATCATTGCCATGAGAGCAGCTTTGCTCATCACATGGCTAACATTTCTGTATCATAGTCTTTTATACTGTTGTACACTGTAAATAAAACAAAGTGGTTTTTTTTATGTTTGGGGCATAAATGTTTTTTTATTGTCAACAAAGAGAAACCAAACAGGAATATTTTATTACAAGCATGTCCAGCTGCTTCCTCCACTCCCAACTGCTAGAGCTGATGGCCAGAATAGACACCTGGAAGGAGAAAATAGAGGGGATTTCATTTATCAATTATGCAAATATATGATTTGTTAACTAAAAGGATGGAGAGTCTTAAGAGAACTTACATGATCACTTTTCTGTGACAGCCTGTTTTTTGGGCTTCAATTTGTAGAAAAGAATAATGGCTGCAATGCTAGCATATGTGGCCAAAACACACTAAAAGAAAAACACAAGTGTGATTAGAAATCTATAGCACTATGAGAGTTTGGACAAATGTCAGGTGTGAAACTCCGTTTTGAACACAACTCACATTCCTCCTTCCTGTGATCGTGTATGAATTGAAGTACTTGGCAATTCCAGTGAACTGGTGCTGGCCTCCGGCGTCATGTCCTCCCATGATGGATGATTAATGGTCCTACAGCGAGGGGAAAAAACTGGTGAATGAAGGATTGATACACAGTAAATGAGCGAGTTAACACTTGACATTGGCATCAGTTTGTGTGACCAAATAATTTTAAAGGAAAAGTGATAAATCTATTGACAAAGCTCATCTGCAGCAATGGTGGTGAGCTTCTTTCGATCAATGAAGTTTAGTCACTTCAAAAATGGAGACACAATCACGTGCTGTGAGCAGCTGATGGACAAACTACAGAAATAAATCAGTGATGAAAACAGCAGATCGCTGCAGACGTTTCATAACTACCACTTTAAACTGTTGTTTGTCACCACCTTTAATTGTCTGACTTGGTGTTTTATCATACGATGTTGAACATTATATTACACGTTCATCTCGACTGTTTTTGACATAACTCGAGCAAGTTGGACAGATAATTCAAAATACTCTCACATGCATTTTTCATTCACATTGGGAAAAACAAATGCATTGCAACTGTCAACTAGCTCCTGTAGTTGTAAGTATTATTATAAGAGATCGTCTCCTGCGTCAATGGTGCTCGTCTTGACATGCTACTTTCAAATCTGATGGCATAACTATGAGCATTTACGCATTTTATTTCTTACGGGTTCTTACGGATTCACGTTAAGTTTGACTTTTCCTTCAGACTGACTTTTCCTTCTGACTGACTTTCATCGGGCAGTGTAGCTCGTTAGCTAGCACACTCTATGGTGAGTTAACGTAGCTTGCTGGGTTAGCCTGCTAGCTAATTCAATTCACAGACCTAAAGTAAAACAGCACATTGTCGCAGATGTGTTTCAAAGATACCAGTGAAGCACTAAACACAGTTAAAGCCAACAGGAAGTGTCTCATGTGTGTCTAAGTGTGTTCTGTCTTACCTTTAACACACGACCCCTGAGCAGAGAGAGAGAAGCAGGTGTCCTTCAGCAGAGGCCGCAATGCTACAACTGCACGGAAGTCCCGCCTACTATCACTGACGCAAAGGTGTGTCGCTATTGGACGGAAATAATGTCGCTCCATGCGGAGGGTCCACAGTGGTCGTCAAATGGCTGGAGAGGGTGCCAATCATCGGCTCTGCTCTATGATTGGCCAAACAAGGATACGCCCTTCTGAGTTTTTCTTCCGGGTCGCGATCATGGCGTGCTGCTGAGCAACATGTGTATCTGGATCTACCCTGAAGCCGAACATCGAACACAAGGAGACATTTAACTGTAAGGGATGAAGGTTTACCTTGATCTGTGTTGGATTCCAAAATGAGTTTTTGTTTGGATCATTTTTTGTTCTGGTAGAAATTGCTCCACATTTAGCTCGAAAGCTAAAACATGTTGCCTTTAGCTAACGATCATCGCATGCATGTTTGGACCCTTACTGGTAAAATGTGAAATAAATAGAAACTCGTTTGAAGATGTAAAAATCTACAGACAGTTGTTTTAGAGATTTCTTTCCATCCACTCTTGGAGAAGTGGTATATCTTAACTGCTTTTTAGTTTTGACGGTTTTGAAAGTAGATTTTTTATCCACAGTGATTTTGATTTTCAGACAACACGACATCAAACATGGCATCAGCAGAGGAGGACTTCCCTCGAGGAGGGACAGCGAAGAAGAGCACTGATGGTAAACCGGTGGTTCATCGGGGTGAAGTGGACAATCTCTTCCAGGTAGAGGACTACTCTTCTTCTCCCCTTTCTGTATCCAGCAGTGCAAAGACTCTGCCAGAAATAAGTACATTTACTGGAGTCCATCACTGAACATTGAGAAAAGGCTCCACTGTGCTGGGTATAGCTTATATGACTATCTACAGAATAGATAATTAGATCCAATAATTTCTATCTATCTATTGAAAGATGAAAACCAAACATGTGACACATAGCGTACTCTTTCTTTTCTTATTTCCATATTTTTTCATTCCCATCATGACGTATCCCTTTCCTTCCCTCCCCCTGGACTGTGCACAGTGTGACGTATCTCATACCAGAACACATCAGTAAAATGTTTTCCACAGTTAACAACAGCTTCTCTTGCAGTCAAACGAACAGGCAGAAACGAAAAGGAAAAGAAAGGCAGCGCTCAAAGATGATGCCAGGAAACTCAAGAAGCAAAAGACAGGCAAAGAAAAGAATGATGGTCTTGCGCTCAACGCAGCAGCCAAGTGTGTGGAAATCCTGCATATGAAGGTAATTGTAAAGACCCAATGTATAATTTGAGTCTGTTTAACGTGTTTAGTGAATTGAGTGTTTTCAGCAGAGGTTTTGACTTGATATTGTGTTTGTTTATGAACAGAATGTGAAGGAGGGCATGCTGATGCTGGGCGTTGTGAAGGATGTCGCAGACTTTGAGGTGGCGGTCAGTCTGCCTTGTGGTCTACAAGGTTTCCTCAGCATCAAGAACATCAGCGACTCGTACACCAAGCTGCTCAGTGAGCAGCTGGATTCAGCTGACACAGAGGTATGCCTGCGGACTCATGATTTCACTCAGTTATGAGTGTAGATGAAATGTGCTATATCGTGTTGATGGTATAACACACACTCCAGGATATTCATAATGTCTGGCTCTTGTGCTTGACAGGACATCTGCTCTCTGCCTCACCTCTTCTCCCCCGGCATGGTGATAAGATGTGTGGTTGCAAAGCTGGACGTAGCGAAGGGAGGCTCTCTGAGCATCCAGCTGTCAGTCAATCCAAAGCTGGTGAACAAGGCTCTCAACTCAAGCTCACTGAAAGCTGGCATGGTGAGTCATACATCAGCCAGTAAACGAGTAAAGTTAGATTTTTTGGAACCGAGCATGAATGACATGTTGTTTCTATGTTTTGATTTAGATCTTGAGTGGATGTGTGGAGAGTGTGGAGGATCATGGTTGCATAGTTGACATCGGCATCAACGGGTCCAAAGCCTTCCTGTCCAAGACAGCAGACAAACAACACAATCTGGACGGTATGAGAAAGTATTTTAGATTATTTTGTAGTCACTGAGAAAATTCCATCAGGGAAAATTAGTGTCACTGATCAAGATATCCCAGAACATTAACATCTTGTTCTGTTCTTGTCTGTAGAGCTGAAAGTAGGTCAGTATTTGACTTGTAAAGTGGAAGAATTAAAGAATGAAGGACGTGTTGCACGGCTCTCTGTCAACCCCCCGACTATCGCCCAGGCCTGGGCTGAGTCCGAGCAGGGCTGGAACCTCACCAACCTGCTGCCTGGTCTGCTGGTCAAAGCCACAATCAAAAAGGTAGAGACAACTTTCACAATAACATTAACATTGATTCTGTTTTGTCACTTTGAAATGCAAACACCCTCTCATAGGGTGAAAAATCCTTGTTTTTTATGCATTGAATGATCTGCTATTCCTCTGTAAGCATCTGTAATTGCTCTAATTGTTTCATTTTGATAATATTTAAATTTCTGGTTTTCAGGTGACAAAACATGGTCTGATCCTGGACTTCCTGTCCTCATTCAGTGGCCAGGTGGACTTTCTGCACATGGAGCCAGAACAGGCATCAAACTACACAGAGGGAACTGAGGTAAAGCTGACTTGATGCTTTAATTGTGTCTGTCATTGGTTTTTTTTAGCTTTCTGATAAGAGGTTCATTCTCATTGACGTGTTTCGATTTAAATACCATCTATTCAAATTATCCAGGATGAAAACTGTTAACACGTGGTCTTTCTGTGTCATGTGTTTATACTAGAAACTGACATTGACGTCTTAACCCTGTTTTGTGTTCCAGGTACATGCATGTGTGCTTTACATAGAGCTGTCCACGCGCCTCGTGGGTTTGAGTCTGCGCAGCTACCTTGTTCAGCCCAGGCAAGGAGTGAACACTAATCCCTCCGGTGGCGACCGCATTGGTGAGGTGGTGAAGGACTGTAAGATGACCACTGTACACCACATGTCTGGAGCCATGTTGGAACTGCCCGGTGGAACGTTGGCATTTGTGCATGTGAGTCGATGGGATGTCTGTTAAGAATAATAAATACTGTCTGTAGGTATTCAGTCAAAGTAGACTTGAGTTAACATCGTCATCATGTTATCATCTTTCTGGACAGAGGAACCACATGAAGGAGTTGAATAAATCAGTTAATGAGAACAAAGTGCTGGCAAAGCCTGAGCACACTTGCAGGATCCTGGACTTCAGCCCCATGGACCAAATTCATTTCGCCACTCTGCGCTGGTATGTACAACAATATTTTTTGCATCTTTTCACATAATAATCTCTGACTTGGAAATTATGAAAATGTTTTTTAATTTTTAATTTCCAGGAGTGTGATTGAGAGGCCTTATTATAGATATCATGATCTTCAGGCTGGACAAATTGTGGAGGTAAGAATTAATTGTCATCACTTATTGAAGCGCTCTAGTGTATGATTAATTTGAATTGACCTAAAAATCTGTGAAAGCAACAAATGGAAGCTGACATATATTATTCTTTGATTCCTCAGTTGTGTCCTTGCTCTGTTGTCTCTCACGTCCTCTTTCTTCCCTGTGTTGTCCACTTTAAGGGGAAAGTGTCAGTCCTGCTGAGTCATGGGATGGTGGTGCATCTGTCCAACCACATTAAAGGTCTGGTGCCTCGGACCCACCTGTCTGACATCATCCTCAAGAACCCGGAGAAGAAGTACGTCGAGGGAATGAAGGTCAAATGTCGGGTCAGTGCAGTTCCTGACTTTTTTAAAACCACTTGGAAAACCACAAGAATGAAATCTGTAACAAACAGGTTTTAAATTTATATTTTTCTTACTCAGCCGTGTGTTTGTGGGTGGATTTCTTTCTTCAGGTGCTATCTGTGGATCCAGCAAATAAGAAGCTGTACCTGACCAGAAAGAAGGCCTTGGTAGAAAGCTCCCTGCCATTGGTCCTCAGCTATAACGATGCTCGTCCTGGCTGCGTGTCCCACGGCTACATCGTCTGCATCAAAAGCTTCGGCTGCATTGTTCGTTTTTACAACAACATCAAGGGTCTGGTGCCGATCAGTGAACTCGGCTCTGAGCCCATCAGCAGTCCTGAGGAGGTCTTCTATGTTGGACAGGTGAGGAGATCACATTAAATGAACGCTGAGAATAACGCCAGGTTTGATGAAGGTTTTAAATCTAAGTTAAAGATGTTTGCAAACCATTATAAACAAACTTTTGATTTGACTCTGCCACAATGTTTTGTTTTTTTATGCCCCAGGGGCCTTCAATACAATTTAAGATTTGTAATTATTGAGGTAATTTTTAACTCGATAATTTCTCTCGTCAAGCTAAATCGCCATGGTAACTTGAGCTGCACCTCTTAAAGGAGAAGTTCGTTTTTTTTCAACCTGGTCCTTATTTCCAGCATATGGTATGTAGATCTACTCAACCATAAACGTTTGGAGTAACATGGAGTCCTTCGGGAACTTTTAGATCCACACGCGTATATCCATACAACGCAAAGGTTCGGGGCATCCACAATACTGCCTCTAAATAACGCGTTATCTGCCGCGAAACTCTTTATTTACTATGAATCGCCAGCACTAGTCCCCTGTGAGTCTCGCTAGCCTCGGAGCTAGCATTCATGGTTGTATTCATGGTACTGATGACGTTTCTCATAATTATCCACTCAGCCTCTGAGACTAAAAAAGTTGTGGCTGGATAAGAGAACCCAGAATTAACTTAGACAGTTGATAACCAGGTTAAGCTTGCTTCGTAGCACAGGCCCCTGCTTACAGTACAGGTTATCAGGATGGACAAGAATAACAGATATAAGCTTGTTTCGTTGCGCATGCTCCCGGTGTTAGAGAGCAGTGTTTGAGTATAAGTATCTGGCATCTTACAAGTTGTTTGTTGTGGTTGATGTTCCAGGTGTTAAAGACTAAAGTTCTCAAATGCGACCCTGAGAAGGAAAAGATGATGCTGTCCTTTAAAGCTGCAGTAGAGGGAGACACTGAGGAGGCTGCCAAAGTCCCGGACGACTTGGAGGTGGGGAAGGTGAGTTAAAGAACGTTTATTTTAACATCTTTGT